TCTTTACTGTCATTGTACAACTTGTACAACAAAATTAATGCCACCCCAGTGCAGCTTTAAAAATATAAATACCATAAAACACATAAAACACATAACACACATATAACACAACCTTCACATTCCATATTGCACAACCCCTGATGCTGCATTAATACTGCACTATACGACAGAATTCAGTATAGTTGCAGCTCTAAGATAGAAGTTATTCTTCAGCCTATTGGTCCTTGTTTTCATTATCCTGTACCGTCTGCCAGATGGTAATAGTTCAAAAAAAGAATGTCCCGGGTGGGATGGATCCTTAAGAATATTTTGAGCCTTCTTAAGGCAGCGGGAACTATAAAGTTCTTCCAAAGAGGGGAGAGCACTGGGCAACCAATGATCCTCTGGGCAGTGGTGGTAACCCTCTGGAGCCCTTTCCTATCTGCCACTGTGCAGTTAGCAAACCATACATGACCACATTCTCATATCACAGCAAACTATTATGTCCTGCAGTATAAGCAGCTAAATAACTTGCATAAGCTCTTTCTTTCGTTTATCTTGACATGCAGACCAGGAGTCAACCTAGAGTAAAGTTAAGACACTGCTTTGCACATCATGATAAATAAGCCACAAAACAAGCTCCCACAGATGTAGTGAGCAAGCAGCACTGGCATGTTTGCTCCTTCTCAGCAAGCCAAAGTTGCTGAAAATTCTGATTTTCATTATGTAAAGGTTTCTACTGATTCCTGTGCAACCTCAGTTCTGAAACTGGTATTTTTATCCGACAATGTAAATGTCTAATCCTTTTTTTAAAGGACATGAAAATCTCTCCACTGAAGAAATGAATACATATTCTCAATATTCAGAGAAACTAGTATTTAAAAGATGCATATTATAAGAATTATACATAGGTCCTATGGATACCTTAGATATAGTAAATTGACTACAGGTAGTCCTCAACTTATGACCATTTGTTTAGCAACCATTCGAAGTTATGATGGTGCTGAATAAAGTGACTTATGACCGATCCTCACATGACCGTTGCAGCATCCCCACAGTCACACGATCAAAATTCGGGCGTTTTGGCAACTGGCATGTATTTATGACGGTTGCTTTCCTGCGGTCACATGATTGTCATTTGTGACCTTCCCAGCTGACTTCTGACAAGCAAAATCAATGTGACTGACTTAACGACCATGTGATTCACTTAACAACCACGTGATTCATTTAATGACTGCTGCAAATATGCTTTAAAATTGGGTGTGGTCAATGACACCTCACTTAACGACCACCTTGTCTATTGTGATCGTAAGTCAAGGACTACCTGTATTTCTAAAACCTAAAAGAAACAGATGTAGGGCAATTAGCTTGTCTAATATCAAATAGCAAGTATGGTATAAACGTTTCAAAAAGCTAAATCTTAAGCAGAATTAGATGCATCTGATCCATTTCTTCACTGGATTCGGGAGAGCATTATATTTACATATACATACATATATACCCCTCATGCTAATCCCTTTCAGGGCGAGCAACATCATCCAAAGCACAGAAAAGAATGGGAAAAAATTAAAGGCATGAGGCATGAAAATAACATATAGCTAAACCTAGTTTGCATGACACCTCTTCATTCTTCTCTATCCTTGCAAACCACCATTGCTTTCACTACATTCATTCACTGATTACCATTGCATTTTGTTCCTTAAACTTCTCACTCTTTTTTTGATCTCCAAACCACAACTTTCTCAGTCTTCCCCTTCTTCTCAAATCATTCTCTCATCCTTCATGTATTTACTCTATGATTTTATCCTCATACATGACAAAACCAGCTAAAGAAATTTCTCTCTTACTGGTCACTAACTTTTGTAGTTAATACACATTGACTCATTCCTGAACCAATATCTCATCATTTTACCACATGTTCTTAACTAACCCCTTCTAACTGCATTCAACTTGCTTTTATGTTCCTGCTGATATATCCAATTCTCACTTCCATATGAAGTGGGCAGAAACAAGTTCTTTTATAAATATTTTTGCTTATTTCAACAAACATTTATTCTTCAAAACAGACCACATACTACCTTCTACCTTTCTCTCAGCATTTGCATGCCTTAAAAATTCTCCGTCTAATTTCCCATCTTCAGTAAATATTGTAGCAATATATACACAGAGAGCACACATCTCCATTTTCCATAATAAATACAGCTACATCTGAAATATCCTGATTTTCAGATCAATACTCCCCATTGTATTATATAGACTACGATTTGCTGCACATCACTCATTCTCAGCCAACAATACATCATAGGTATACTAAAGTACACGCACATTCACATTCCTAACCAAAACACCTCCAATTCCACAGCAATTTCTTATACATTTATCCATAAATACATTAAATGTGGGTAACAGTTTGTTGGTTTATAAGGTTATCTCCAAATCAGAGATCCTACCTTGCATAGAGCAGAGTGAGTATGTTTGAGGTAAAGCTGGCTTTTGATTTCACTTGTGGCACACTGGCCAAAATGTGCCAGTACTGACTGATATTGTCCTTATAGTTAGTAGGGAAGGCTGGATGTGGCATGGGAGTGACCGAGACTAGTAATCTAGTCTTATCTTCTCTACCTTACTAAAAAGAGTTACATGAAAATTGTTTCATCTATATCTAGATACTAACCCTATGTTACAATAAGTTTAATTGCAAATACTTTTTTTGCTGATATGACTATAAGATATCTTCCTTTCCAAAATATTTACATTTGGAGGCATTCAAGCTGGAAAGAAAGGGTGACTTTGCAAAGGATATTATGTTTATAATTTCAGTGAAAAGGTAACAGGATGTTAAACAAAATAGGAACAACAACAACAAAAGCTTCCTTGTATGTGTTTTGAGAGCAATTCAGGAATTTCCTTAAGAAAATTGTTTTGGCTGCTGCTACAGTTTTTTTTACTGTTTATAGAAAAGAATTAACTTAAGAGTGGGTTAATAGGCATCAAATTCCAGAAAACCTTACTGTTTTCAAGAAGTCTCAAGATACAAGTCAAGTCTGCCAAGAAATGTGCATGAAGGAAATGATGCTCACATACTACCTTAAGTGACAATACTAAATTTTTCTGTGGAATTTCCCTTATTGGGCACACTAACTCTCCCCATATGATGCAGTTTGACTATTATTTAAACTAAACCTCAGTGCTGATCACTGCTATCATATGTGGTGCTTCAAAAGGTATTATAACTGGTAGATATTATATACAGTACTGCCAATTACCAAGCTCTTTGTCGATTTCAATACATAATTGCCATTTACATGAAATTTTCCTACATTAATGTAAGAAAAAAATACAGAGTTTACTATTACAAGCCAATTTAATCTGGAAAGGGTGGGAGACAGAAGAGAATAAGAGGAAGAAGAGAAACAAAGGTAAAAAAGAAAATATATGATTAAGTACAATTATAAGTGCTGGACTTTAATTGGTGGGAAATACAAATGATACAGACGTTGTACAGAGCTACATTATAGCTCTTGATGATAAAGCTTGTATAGCTGGGAGGAATGAGCAGATGCTTCAGTACCCAAAAATCAACGCTTCCTTAACATGGAACATTGGGCTGTAATTGGAACGAATTCTAGAAACATCCTTCTTCTGACATCCAGACTTTTATATGTGATATACTGCAGTGCGTGCATCTAACCTGCATTATGCATTCATGTGGTCCTATGAGATACAGCCCCAACTCAGGGTTTCCACTTATACAAGACAATATGGGTACAAGGAAGCAGCAGATAACTACAATCCAGAGAAGACTAACCAGAATTTGAAAGCAGTTTAGGACAGAAAGACAGGCAGGGCTACAGAGAGCCATGAACAAATTCATGCTACCTGTCTGATTTTAGATCAAATGAGTAGGTTATTTTGCTTCAACAGAACAACTGAGGTGGAAAGGATGTCAGGAAAGAAGAAGCGAACTGAGGAGAACCTCTTCAATATCCACAATAAGTCACTCCTTCCAGGCCTACCATGCATCAGACCTACAGTGACCATATGTCCTTTATTAGAAAGGACAGTCCTTTATTTCAGAAAGCTGTCCTTTATTTTTCAAAAACTCACTTTTCTCCTTTTAGTCATTTAACTTTTACAGTACAAATGGTACCACTTAGTGCACAGTCGGACTGCAGAAATCCTTTTTAATACTTGCTTCTTGTAACTTCATAGCTTTTTAGATATATTTATTAGAATATGTGTTTTTGTAAAGTTTTCCTTGGTACTGAATTTTCCTTTGCAAAGCAAAGTTACAAACACATACAATTACATTTTTGTATCCTTAAGAACCCCTTTCAGATTTGCCCCTTTTTCAGGTTTGTCCTTTAGTTTTTCCAACAAAATATGGTCACCGTAATCATACCCAGGAGTCAGTACTGTTTATTTAGTTCAGATCGACGACCATTGCTCAACTCTGTCCGAACCCGAGATAAAGAGTGTGAGGTGGAATCCCCCAAACACCCCCCTCTTTCTCACACACACACATAGAGCACATCAGAAAAGCGCGCGCACACACACACAAGCTGGGAAATTCCCCCTCCCCGCTTTTGATCCCAGGGCTGCAATTAGAAGCGGATGGTTTGAAAAGCACGGCGGCACCAGGCAGATCCGGAGAGCGGAAAATGGGCTCCGCTCTCGGACGGACTGACCTAAGAAACCTTTAAAACGTAGCAGGCAGTCCGAACCCGGCGGTCCTAACGGGCGTCGAGGAAGATTTCTGAACTCCTTCGGGCGTCGCTGCGGCCAGAGGAAATTTCCTTTCCCCAGAGCCTGAGGAGGAGGAGAAGATCCAGCGCCCGCCCCGGGGGTCGAGGGAGGATCCCCCTCCACCGCCTCTGGGCAGCTGCCAAATCCTCCCTTCGGCCTGGCCCAGCGGCTGCCCCAGGCGGCCTTCCTTCTCGCGCTCCCCTTTCCGAAGCGGGCTCCGGGGAGCGGGGCCGAGCGCTCAACACCCCTCGCCTCGCCTCCCCTCCGCCACTCACCCCTCCGCCCGGCTAGTTGCGCCACACCCGCAGGCCTCGAACCATCGCCCTCCAGCCCAGCGGCGGAGACGTCTCGGCGCCGTCTCTCGGGTATAACTGCAGCGACACGGCGTGCGCGAGGGACCCATTCGGGCCGCCATTGGCCGGCATGGTGGTCACGTGCGGCGATGGGCGTGGCAAACGGAGAGGAGGTGCTTCCCGTAACGGGTCTCTGGCTGCCAGGATTCCGAGCTTTGGGTCCCAAAAGGGGGGCGACGGGGGAGGGGTTCGCCGTAGGGGAAGGGGCCCCGACTGGGGTCTTCCTTGCAGCCACAGCGCCTGCGCATGGGAGGTCGAACCATCTAATCGAGTGGGGGGTTAGGTAATAGGCTCGGCTGAAGTAACATACACGTTGCACGTGCTAAAAGAGGTTGCGCTCGCCTCTTTGGGCGCTTAAATTGGAAGACTGAGCCCTTGAGCCCGATTGTTAATTTCCAATTAACAGTATGATTTTACAGGACTGGCTTGGTTTAGCTACTAAATTTGCACACTCTAAATAAAAACAGCATTCGAAGGAAATGAATCGCATTTTAAATGAGCTGCTAAATTTGCATGAACTGCAAATAAAAATAGCATTCGAAAGAAATGAATTGCTTTATGAATGTCCAAAAAAGGGTCTGGCTGCCTTCGGAAAGGTGAGACACAAGCAGGCGAGGAAGTGGGCAAGGGAGAAGTCTGAGATTCATAGATGCAAAAGAAACACGTTGGGTCAGGGATAATCCATTTATGGCAAATCAGAGAAATGGACTCGATCTGTAATTACATGAAATGTTACAGCATTAATAAATATAATTCTTCAATATTTTGAAGGTTTACTGCAGCAAACTAATACTGTACCACTAACCTCCTTATATAGCACAATATTTTCACAGAAACAAGTGACAAATGGACAAAAGAACAAAAAGGGGTAACAAGGAAGGAACTGCAAGAGAAAGAGGGAACAGATGTTTCAGCCATCATCCCCCTTACATAAAGGAGCATAATCGGGGGGGAAGAGACATAACCCCACAGAGCCACTGCAGTGTGTTCGGTGCAGAAGGTTCTGGAGTCATAAATTCTATCCTCACTGAGCAGCTGCAGGCCCAACAGACTTTCTGGGCTCCGGCCGTACAAATTCCAGCCTGGTTGGTGCTTGGAGGGTGTGGAGGTGCAGGCTGCTTGAAAAAATTGGAGGCACCTGTGCTGCCTTCTTTCCCTCCCACTTGAGCCTTTCCCCCAGTGTCAGCTAATAAAGCAGCAACCTTGACACAGGTGTAGGAGGAGAGGCGGGGCAGGTGTCAGACGCTCTGCAACAACCAGTGAACAGAAATGCGTGGCAGCCAAAAGAAAAAAGGTGTTTTCCCTTCTGAGGGAGTGGACAGTCCAGAGAGGAAAAAAAAAAAAATTACAGAGGCCCAGCAAGGAGAAGCACAACTTGGAAAGGTGTAAAAAGCTCTACCTGCTGGCCATTAAAAAGCAACAATGGAGAAGAAAAAAAGCAGAAGAAATCCCAGAGAGAAAGGAAATGAGACAGAACAGGCTGTGTAAGAAGAAAACAGTGATGTATAATTGTAATGGTGATAGAAGGGGTTATAGGATAGAGGAAATGTAATAGAATAGAGTGGTGTTTCTTAAACTTTTTTTTCATGGTCCCTTCCCATTTTTAAAAATTATGAGGACCCCAGAAGAGCTTTTGTTTGTATGAGTTGCATTTATCAATACTTTATTAAAAATTAAAATTGATGCATTTGCTGCCACCACTTTGCATGATTGTTTGATGGGATTTTAATGTATTTTTCAACATAGGCTGGCAAATAATTTTGATTTTGTGGACCCCTGAGAGGGTCTTGGAGGACCCCATATATTTGTAAGTCTTACACATCACTTTATACAATACCTTTGCTTTGCAAAAAAAAAACTTTCCAGCCCTTATAATGAGATATAAATAAACTACCTGGTCCCAGGTCCAGTGCTTTTGGGTCTCTGCTGGGTCAATCTACTTGGACATGGTTTAAAAAAGAACCTGTGACAGGGAAGACCATTAGGGAATGCCAGGGCCATAAGACTAGACTGTGAACTTGCAAAGTATCTTGAAAAAGGCAGTGGCAAATCACTTCTTTACTCTTGCAATGAACTATCAACTCACCTGGAAGGGGATGCTACAGTATGAAATACCAGCCAACCCACAGTTCATTCCATCACTTCTTCCTGCTAGTCTATATATTTTTTTTCCTCAGTCAAGCATCATTTCATGCTCGTGGAGCATACGCGATGCTCAAGTCCCCTTCAGTGTTTTTCTCTTCTATAACCCTTTGTGCCATGAAAATACCCATCTCTGGAAATGAGTTTGCCAATAGTATATATATGTATGATGAATTATCCCTGTAGTCTTCTTTCTAAAAGTCATACATAACAGAAAAATCTGCCTTATATTTTCTTACTGATTTCCATATCACATTTGTTGCATTGCAGGGAATCTTAAAAAATGTAATTCTAATCTCAATTGTTCAGATGGGATTTATCTTCATTCAGGGCCTCCTAGTCCTTTTGGAATTATTGCAATGCTGAGTGTGTTGCTGAAGTATTGTTTCACTTGCAGCTCTGGCTAAACAGCAGCTGGGAGGACTTCGTCCATTCAGAAGATGGGTCTCATGAGGATCTTATCAGTTGTAAAACAATGATTCACCACAATGTTATCTGATTCCTCCTATTTCCACTGGAGGCTTCCCATTTCTACATCGACTCTCATCTTTGCAGCCACACTGTTATTTTTCAGAAAACTACTTGGGAGCAGGAAAGCACTCCTGGAAGTGAAAGATAATTCTCAGTGCTTTGTTTTCAGTATGCCAGCTTCCCATTTTTTAAACATTTCTTTCAAAATAAAAATTCATGAGAGCATGGCCCCTTCTGGAGATGATTGGCACCCCATGTGACTTGTTGGAGGCCCTAGTAATACATTACATCTTCAGCTTTTATTTGTTGCAGGCATCTGTTATGTTTTAGCTAAAATAAAAAATACTAGTCCAAATAAATTCCTAAGATACTTTTCCAGATACATCAAAATTGGGAATGTATAGGCTGCCTGTGCCTCTCCCCCAGTCTTGGGTGCAGCCATCAAAGCCCTTCCAAAGGTTTTGATTGAGCTGTCATTTTAGTTGGTTTATATGATGTATATCTTTTCTACTGGGAAGTACTAAGGACAGCTAACAAAACTCATTTTTTAATGTGACAAAAATTCAACTCTTGGGAATGATGGTAAACATCTTAACTATTTAATTCATTTACATTTACGAAATTTACTTTAAAATGAAAATAAAACAAGTTTACTATTTTGGGAGTATAACCTCTGGCATGCCACTCAAAAGCCAATATAACCACCATAATCTATCTCGAAAAAGATTGTGAAGTTTTGATTTAAATATACTTCCCCAGTACCACTTGAACTTGAGATGAAATCTTCAGCCATCTCCATGTGTGCCATATTGTGCTGCTTTGTCTTGCTACCTTGAAGGAAACATACTGGGAACTGGCCAAGTTTCTTGGAGAGAGTAGCCTTCCCTCTGTTCTTAGGATATATGTACTTAAGAAGTAGGCTTCATTTCTCCCTCATTCTGTGATTCCCTAGAAGCAAGTTAGCTTCTAAGGAACAGACTAGAACTTAGTGAGGAGGCAAGAAGCCCAAACAAATAGCTATATAAGAGCTAACAGAAAGCTAAAGATTACATGTCCTGCCACTACTGTCTTCAGCTTTTTACTAGACTTTCATAATTCCTGTAGTTCAAAAAGTTTAAAATTGTCTATGAGGCTCCTCAGATTGGTTCCTCCAGGCATGTTGGAGTGCAGCTCTCTCAGTCAGCATCATGGGAGCTGAGCCACCTCTGGAAAGTGCAAGACTGGGGAAGCGACAGCTGGGATGGCGGAATTCAACTGAGGACCCTTCCTTTGCAGTTTTAATTGTTGTGCAGGCTAGAGTACCTGAAGTTTCCTCTTCTGCACAGCTCTTAAAGGTTGCTGCCACCTAGGCATTGCCTATAAATCACTTCAGTTAGCTTACTGTAATGTAACTTCAGTCCCATTGGCTGTGTTCACAAGATGCTACAAACTCCTTATGATTTTTGCATTTTCCCCCTGTTTTCCTTGTCCATTATCAACACTGTAGTAGCTGTGTACTATCACTGGACTCAAAAGATAGCCCACTGTTATTCCAGTAAGGTGCCCCCTTCCTGCCTCCTTCACTTACTGGATGCTGTTGGCAGCATGTACTCCCTTTGTTTATGTACCATTCCTAGTCCTGCTTGTTGTACTTGGATCTTTCCTTTTCTCGGTCAGAGTGTGCCTCCTTCCATCTTATCTCTGCTTCTGCTTAACATGGCCTGATGGTTTCCAATTTGTTTATTAACATCTAGTTATATGTTCCCAGCCAAGCAGCTATTGTCTAGAATCAGTCATTGCTATATTTCCCTTAAATCTATTTTTTGTCATTATTGCTTAGGGGTTCCCACCCTATTTAGCAAGCTTTATGGATATCAACTGGCTCTAACCTAATTGGGAAATCATTGTTTTTGAGAACACATACTTAGAGTTGGATAGAAAATTTCTAAAGCTCTGGAGACAGTGATGATAAATTCAGGTATGTGTACAATTCACATGTGGCCATTCCTATTCTGATTGTTTCCCATCCATAAATTCTTGCAAGCAAGAGCAACTTGAGAGAATGACTAAAGAATCAACATGCACGATTTAATCGGTTTCAGTTTTAACTGAAATTCTATGCTTTTATAAGAGGAATTAGTAGTCTATTATAATGAGCTATTAAGGTACTCTGTGTGTCACTACTATCACACTGAACCACTGAATTTTAGTAGACTCCAGGTTTAGGTGGCACTGGGAGAGGAACAAACTATTGGTTGCCTGATGTAGTGGCTATATACACCATTGCATCCATGGACATTTACTTCTCTATCCAAGACTTTCTGTGCCACATGCTTATAGATTCTTTTTTCATGAGAAGTTGACTGTGAAGGGAAAGCCTTGCAGTGGCCAGCATGGACTCTTCCTTCCCTTTGTTTTCTCCCCTGGGACTTTAAGGCAGCCTGAAGGGCATTGTACCACACCTGCTTTTAATTATAAAGGAAAATGCAGAAAGCATATAGGTGTGTTTGGAGGAAGATTTGTGTGGTGTGGGAGAGCAGAAAGGAAGACTTTGCATCTGTTAGCTCAACACACAACTGATGGGAAAGGAGGAGCAGTCTTGGGCTTCACCAAAGTAATAGCAGAGAAGCTGAAAGGATAAGCAGAGCCCAGTAGCTTCACCACTCCAGCA